TACTGCGGCGGCGGCGGCAGACTGTACTTTTGGCTCGTCCAGCCGTGGAGCATCGAGCCGTTGGGCACGTGATGCTCGTCGTCGTCGAGCGTCGGGTCCTTGCCGTCGAGGGACATGCTGTCGAGACGGTCCACGAGGCTGTGGTCCAACATACTACTTTGGTTGGGGGTCGACCGGCCGCCGCCATATCGAACGGCCGCGGCATATCCGCTCATCGCGGGGTCGAGGGAACTAAAACTAGAGCTAACGAGGTGGTGGTGGCTATTGGACGACTTGGTCATCGGCGACGTCGGTGTCGAGCGCGGACTGAGGAGCTCGTGGTCGCTCGACTGGCCGCTGAACGAGCCACCGCGGTTCGAGACGGACCGGACGCTGCCGGTCGTTGTCGGCGGCGCGTCGGTGCGTGGCACGGCGCGCTTGACTTCGACCTGTGTCATGTCTATGAGCACGAGGTCGCGAGGACGGTCGGGCGTACCGACTTGCCGTCAATGACATGTGTCTTGTCTTGCAGCACGAGCTCGACGCTGGCTTCCGTCTCAAAGATGACAAAGCCAAAGCCGCGCGACTTGTTGGTCTCGCGGTTGAACATGACTTCGGCCGAGACGACCTTGCCAAACTGCTGAAAGTACGTCTTGAACTCGGCTAGACAGGCCAGACCGATGAGCGACGACCATGGCCGCGTCGGCGACGTACCGTCCTTGGTCTCGTAGTGGAGGCCACCGACGAATATCTTTTTTGTGGCGCCGACCGCACTCGCGGAGCTGACGCTGGATCCTGCACTAACATTCCCCCTAGCGGAGATACTACTTGTGTCGCGGCTGCTCTCGGCGCGTGGCACGGCCCGCTTCGCCTCGACCTACAACGCATCCCGCATGAGCACCCGCTGCCTGTGCCATACCGTACCCGGCGGTTGTCGAGCACGTGGTTGGGCTGGGCTAATGCGCGATCCACACAGGCCGGGTCGGCGTACGTGATAAAGCCAAAGCCGCGTGAGCGTCGCGAGATCGGGTCCTTCATCACGACCGCGTCCGTGACGGCGCCGTATGCACCAAAGTAGGCCCGCAGCTTGTCTAGGATCGTGCTGCATGAGGCCCTCGTGGTCATCGCGGGCGGCGAATCCGTACCGTCCGTCGTCTCGTACGACAAGCCGCCGATGAATATTTTCCTACGGCGTCGCCATGAGACCGCGCGGCCAGGCGCCGCCACGTACCCAATCTTCGGGGAGCTATCTGTCATGACTAATCCTATCGCTATCTTGGGCGGCTGGGGGAAGCGCGCGGCCGGGGTCCGTCGGGTGCTTCCTGCTGACGTGACTGGAGCTAGACTGCCCCTACATTCTCCGAGAGGTTGCCGAAAACCTCTCTCTTTTGATTCCAAACTTCCATACATTTCTAGAGCGTGCCACATTTGCGGCCGGGAGCCGCCGCATACAAACCTCAAGTGGAGCCGTGGGCGACAACCTCTGATAATGCATACCCAGACAGTGTATGCGGCACAAGTGTCACGACACCCCGCATACTTTATGCCAGTGGCCGCTCCTTTTTCTTTAAATTACAATTTAAACCAGCGTTTTGTATAGGATTTGATTGTACGGATTTAAAGACGTGACCTGCTGTATTTAAATAGACCGCGGAGTGTGTGTCGTTGGGCGAATCTTGGCCGATGGAATCTTGGCCGCAGCGACGACGCCGGCGCCATGGAGACGCGCCGGCCAAGGCAAGGAGGTTGACGCATGGGCGGTGCATGGGAGGTCGATGCATGGGCGGTGCATGGGAGGTCGATGCATGGGCGGTCGATGCATGGAGGCGACCGAGGCCATGCGCCAAACGCGCGATGGACGACGACCAGGTGTCCCGACCTCTGAAGCGTCACGCCGCCTCGCGCCTGGCGGTGAGTAGCGCAACTGAATACAATCGAGATGCAGCATCCTCATACATTACGACGCTACGCCGACGCCGACGACTATGCATCAAAGCTCTCGCCAAGCACGCGGAGGCTCTCGTGTGGCACGATGGCGCTACCAAGGTCGGCGCAGTAGACCGCGTACTGCTGCAGCTTGGCCTTCGTGTCGGTCGGGCACGACTTGAGCGCGAGGAGCACCTTGGGATGCACGAGCACGGTGGTCCACTCGGTGACAAAGCGCTCGGAAAACGGCGGCGCAATGCGACTGAGCACGAGCTGGACAAAGTTGCGCAGCAGGGCTTGGTCGAGCGCGTCCGTGCTCTGCGAGATAAAGTGCAGCACCGGCAGCACATACCCGACGGTCATGAGGTGCACCATGCAGCGCAATGTCTCGCGCTTGAGCTCGAGAACCTTGACAGGATTCGACTCGGGCTGGCACATGAGAGCTTTGACGAGCACGTTGAAGACTGTCGGCCACTGCGCCATGTGCAGCTCAATGTCGTGCCGGAGGAGCTTGAGAAAGACCGGAAAGCAGGCATGCAAGAACGGGCCGTTGAGGAAGCTCTTGGACTCGAGGAGCCGCCCGAGCCAGTGGAGCACACCCATCGCGACGACCGGCGTCTCCATCGTCCGCAGAACCTTCTCGATGGCCTCGCTCTCGTGCATGTTGTAGCTTAGCGTCGTCTCACTCTTGCAGACGACCGAGGTTTCTTGCAGCGCGGTGGCAATCGCCTCGAAGGGCGGGCACGCCTGCGCCGAAATCGCATGCGTATCGAGCAGCGACCGGTCGTCGACGACGCTGGCGGCGTACGCCAGCACATGGGCGCACGCCGACCGATGGCTCTCGGTGATCGACTCGTACGGATGGAAGAGCGCGTCCGTAAGGTACTCGAGCACCTAATATATCAAGTTGATACACGAATCTTCCAGTGGCGGTCTCGAAAAGCAAGTACGAGGTGTTCGCGGACGTGGGCGACAGGCGGCGGCGATGGCTGCGCGTACACGTGCTTGAGCAGCTCAGCGCACGCGGCCGAGCATTTCCGTTCGCGATACAGCATGTCTATGAGGCACGGTTGTTGATACCTTGATACGACTGCCTCACGGTGCGCAAGTGAGGAGTACCGATGGCTTGGGCGAGGTCCGGGAACGTTTGCGTGAGCTGCGCGCGCTTGAGGACATGGAACGCCTGGACTTTTCGGACACCGTGCTTGGCAAGGACGCTTCCGTGCAGCTCTTGCCGCAGTCGATCGAGTTTGGTGCGGAGCGCCATGGCCGCGCCGTCCTGCGCGCGCAAGTGCGTATCCAGCTGCAAGAGCACCTCTTGCGTGTACACGTGCGAGTAGGCCGCGTGCGCACACATCTTTTGGAGCGCGTGGAGGTCGTCGCGGGCCTCTTCGACCGACGCCGACGGCATCTAGTGGCAAAAAGTGTGGTCCAGGACCCGCGCAGACAAAATACTGTGCGTACCCGCTGCAGCATGTCGGTCACAATGGCGTTAAAAACGGAGAAGAAGACGTTGGCGTTCGTGATGGACGCAATTTCCTTGTGGTGCCCGGCCTCCGAGATGCGGCGAATCGCATACTGAAGGAGCCCACACGTCTACGCCACAAAAGGTCATACACAACGCCGCAGGGGAAGGAAATGAACCGAGTGCTTCTCGGCGAGCTCGATGAGCATGAGGCGCCACTGCTGGTCTTGAAGCATGGCCTTCAGCCACGTTGGCTCACCGATCGAGTCGCTCAGCACGTTCGAGAGCTAAACCAGCAAGTTGAGAACGGCATGGAGAGCAAGTCGAGCGACCAGTTTCGGGTCGTAGCGCTCCATGATGGAGGCCTTGAGGTACGCAAACGTCAGCGCATCGGGGCCGTCCCAGACCGCGGCTTCCTTGGCCGTCATGACCGACGCCATCGTGGCGGGGCCGTTGGCGGCGAGCAGCGCCGGGTCGGGCGCGTCGAGAATGTCGAGCCAGCTGCTGACCAAGCGCGTCATCTCGGGGTGCCCGCGGTACGACGACGAGAGCTGCTTGACGAGGAGCTCTGCGCATGGACATGAGGCATGGAACCGATGTGTAGAGCCAACCTGGGCCGTTGGCGTCCGTGTGCGCGCGCAGAAAGCCGTTGATTGAGCTGAGAATATCGAGCTCCATGATCGCATCGGTCTTGCCCAAAATCTATGGGAGGTGCCTGAGAAATCCTGTCGTTCGCAGGCAAGCCAACCTGGAAGGCCGGCGCGGCTTCGTCCTGGATCGCCTCTGCGAGGGCTCCCATGTCGTCGTCGTCGCGCAAGATGAGTGTCGACGTCGCCCGCCCCGTGCGCTTGGGCTTGTTCTTGGCCTTGAGCTTGGACGACGCATGCTTCTCTCGCTTCTTGCGCTTCTTGGCCTTCTCGTCGTCCTTGGCACTCGTGTCGTCCGCGGTCGCTGTCACTTGCGCCTCGCCGCTTGCCACGAGTGTCTCGTCGTCCTCAGTCGCTTTCCGCTTGGCGCGCTTTCGGCTTGGGCTCTCGGCGTCTTCTGTGAGTTTGGACGACGACTTCTTCTTCTCGAGCTTCTTGGCCGTCGCGTCGTCGGCAGCGCCGTCGGCCTTGGACGCGATCTTCTCGAGGTCGTCCTTAGTCACGTAGCTCGTGATCTCGACGTTCTCGGGCTTGATCCACTGCGACGTCTTGGAGACGCGGTCGTAGTAGTAGAGGCGCAGGCTCGTCTTGTCCATGCGCTCTTCCCACGCCTGCTTGGAGGCCGACGGGACCTCGGCCGGGACGAAGTCGTCGGGCCTCTCCCACACGCTGGCCTTGGTCGCCTTGTTGTAGTAGTACGACCGCCCGTCCTTGGTCTTGTGCTCGGTCCAGACAGCCATCGTCCCGAACGGTTCAAAGCGCGACTAAAAACGTCCGGATAATATGACACTGGCGCGAAGGCCCTCATATCTCAACATCATATCAACCAGCAACCTCGACCTCGATCTCATGGACGCCAGATAGAGAGGCTGCATGTGTCGACCTACCTCCTCCGCTGCTGATGCAGACCATGCGATGACGGCTGGCAGCGTGACGTAGTGATCGCCAAGGCGCAAAGGCTCTTCGCCACCTGTCGGTTTTTGTCATGTTGGGTACTGAAGCCTGCTCGCAAGGAGACGTGGACTTGCCAGTGGCACGCGCTGGATGCCAACCCGGCAATCCTCTTCATCGTTTGAGGCTTGTGGACACCAAGCAGCGAGTACGCCATGGCAGCTATTCGTCCCTGGAAGCACCAATGCAAGCTGGACTGCAGCGGGACATGGTGGTCAGAATGCGTGCTGCTGCCGAGTTCTTAAGAGCGCGACGATCCGAACACTAGGAGGGATCGCACGTCGCTAGAGAGACCAAGTCGTGGTGGTCACAGAGACAACGAGATGGCGATTGGGGTCGCACGTCGCTAGACAGACCACGTCGTTGTGGCCACAGAGACAACGAGATATCGCATTCCAAGGCCATGCCTTTTGTACATTTCCGCGTGGTGGTCGAGGACGTTTAGTTGCCGCTGGTTTCATTTTGCATCGCTTCGACCTTGCGCAGGCCGTTAAGGCCCGCGACGCGGTAGGCTTCGGCGAGCGTCGGGTAGTTGAAGACGGCGTTGCGAAAGTACTCGAGCGTGCCACCCGTCGACATGACAACCTGGCCAATGTGAATGATCTCGGTCGCGCCCTCGCCGATCGCGTGGACACCGAGGAGCTTGAGCGTCGACGGGCAGAAAATGATCTTGAGAAAGCCGGGCGTGCCGCCGAGCATTTGGCCCTTCGCGAGCTCCTCGTAGCGCGCGACGCCGACCTCATACGGCACGTTTTCCTTGGTGAGCTGCTGCTCCGACTTGCCGACCATCGAGATCTCGGGCACCGTGTAAATGCCAAACGGAAACACTTCGCCCGACCGCATCCGCGTGCGAAAGTGCGACGTCTCGTACGGGTCGAGGTCTGTCCGGTTCTTATTCGTCGGCTCGGACGTGCGCATGTGCACGGACGCCAACCGGCCTTGCTCCATCGAGACCGACGCCAGTGCCGGGTATCCGATGCAATCGCCGGCCGCGTAGCTACAACATCGTTCCCGTGAATGGATCCGAAGACAACGAGTCGGAAAGAAATACATGTGCGGGACGCTCGTTTGAAAGTTGTTGTTGACTTCGAGGTACCCGCGGTTGTTGGCTTCGAGGCCGACCGCTTCGAGGTCCAGGCCCGTGACATTGCCCTAATGGATAGGGGGTCCACCTTGTCATAGAAAGGTCATGGTACCTGGCGACCCTGGGTGTACAGCAAGGCGTCGCCGACAATGATCTTGCCGCTCTTGAGGTGCACGACGACCTCCTTCTCATCGAGACGCTTCTCAACAAAGTCGATCGTCTCCTCGGTCAAGAAGCGCGTGCCCCGCTGCCGCATCGAGTAGCAGAGGGCGTCCGAGACTTCCTTGTCGGCCATTTCCAGAATCTACGACTCCATAAGACATGCAACGATATATGGTACAAGAGTACCTCCTTGCGGCCATCAATGACCGTGACCTGCGTGCCTGGGATGATGCTGATCATCGCTGCGTACTCCATGCCAATGACGCCGGCGCCAACAACAATGAGGCGCTTCGGGACGTTGGTGAGGGCGCCCCAGAGCAATTGGTCGCTGTCAAAGATGAGCTCGCCGTCGAAATCCATGTTGGGGTGACGGGCGGGCCGCGTCCCGACCGAGATCAAAAACTTGTCGGCCGTCAGCACCCGCTTGCAGATGTTGGCGTCCGAGTGACGCTGGCCGTCCGTGGCCTCCGTGTACGAGTCGTTCGAGAGCACCTACGCCATGATGATCATTGGTATCCCACTCCTGCTACAGTTACGACGTACCGCGACCGTCTTCTTGTCCGCATCTGGAAGGAAGCGCGCGGTACCGTTGATGAGGTAGATGCCGTTGCGGAGGAGCTGGTTGCGCGTGAGGTCCATCTCGGCGCTTTCGACCTTTTGGACGCGGTCGAGAATGTCCTGGATGCTCATGCGCTTGCCGCTCGTCGCCGAGTACGCGTTGCCGTAAAAGCCCTTGTGGCGATGCGCGGTCAAGTGCAAGACCGCCTCGCGGAACGTCTTGGACGGAATCGTGCCCGTGTGCACGCACACGCCGCCGTGCATGTCCTTCTTGTCGATGATCGCAACCTTCTTGCCGTGCTTGGCGCTGTCGATCGCACACTTTTGGCCGGATGGGCCACTGCCAATGACGACAAGGTCAAAGTGCTCGCTCGCGCGGAGGTTGCGCAGGATGTTGGTGAACGAGCTGGCGTCGTCGGCCTTGGCCTCGGCCTCGGTCGAGAGGCCCGCGCGGAGCACCGGGACGGCGGCGCGCCGCGAGCGACGGCCGAGCACATGCAGCATCATCCTCGTGAATTTGACGTTTGGTTGACAATGGGCTTGAGAAATCCAGCCAGCCTCAACCATTTTATCCGGACACGTCGACCGGATATAGCAGCGGGACAAACCTCGATTTGTCCCAGGAGGCGCATTTTGTCCGCCGTGGCCCACCTCGAGACGTTGCCGTGCCACGTCTTGAACGAGCCAAGAACAGTGCGATCCAGCGAGCGCCCTATACGTGAGCGCACGCGTAGTAACACAAAATGGTTGTCAAGGCGCTCATTCATCAATGGCTCGCGCTGCTGTCGGGCGTACACCATGAAGGGTACATACATACTGTACTCTTGACACCATGGTCCGACGAGTCGACGGGCGTGGCTCCGCTTTCTACAGGCTGCGCTCCGTATTACGTAGAGGACGCTGCTAAACATTGCATTCAATGCGCTGGATCTACTGCAGCGCGTGAGCTTTGTGGTCGATTTGATAGGTGGGCGCAACGACGTCGTTGCCGTCGATCCTGTTGCTGAGCGTGTCGCACTAAACACTACTAGGACCCATGACGAGGACAACTGGTCTGGCTACGGTGTATGCTACAGGCTCTAGTCTAGCTGCTGAGTTTCATCGACCGCGTCGTCATGGCGCCACGTGTGGACGGGGTAGGTTTGTCCCGATGCCCCACCTTTGTCCGTATATCGCATCCGGATCAGGCCAACGTTTTTCGCTGGGCGCCGTCACGCGTGTGATTGGCCAACACAAAACCTTTCACATTGTATCTCGCTGGTTTAAAATATCTATTATTAGAGGTAATTGGCCTTGAACATACCCAAGTACATTTGTTGAGGCTGCCTTGGTCGTGCTTGCGGCTTGGTCGTGTGCAAGCGTCTCGTGTCTCCGAGATACTCTGCGATATTCGCACGTTTCTGGGCCTTTCTCTCTTTCTCGCCGCCATCTCGCGACGGTCTCTGCCTCGACCGGACAGGAGTCGAGGTTGAAGCAGCGTGCAGGGAGGTGTACATAATACTGGGCGCAGTCGTGCGGCTACTCGCAGTGCCGGGAAACGCAATCGTCGACAGCAGCTATTACAGCTCCATCATGGCAGCTGCGGCCGCCTTCAACTCCTTTTTACAGGCCGCCAGCGTCGTCCCGCAGCGTCAAAGTCTCGACTTGCATGTCCTTGGAATATCATCCTCACGCTGAACGGCGTGATAGAAGTTAGTGCGCCGGCTGGCAACTGTGTAACATACACATCGTTGACATGGATGCGGGATCTTGAGCACAGCGAATCACCACCACGCGTGGCGCGCGGCCCGCCACGCTTTTTAAAACGCATTATTTAAGGTTTCAAATAAAGAGGCTCGATTGGACGATCAACACAATACGGCGATGCCATGCCTTCTCGCTGGTATCATATCCCCGAAGCACATCGGCGTTGGCATCCTCATCTTTGAAGGAAGGTACTGCGAATGACCATCTTTTGTCGGCGCCTGCATTGGTATCGTCGTCGAGCTTTTCGTAGAGCCACCGCCCATCGAGGTCTGTGACTCACGCCGGCGCACCCGCACCACCGACTCGCATGTGCGCTCGTAATGCGCGGCAACCATATCGTAATGGGCTTGCTCGAGCGTACATCGACCGAGTCTATGAGGGCTCATACATGTAGCACGGTCTTGGAGGGACCACGCGCCATTAGATACTCGACCTTCTTGTGCAGGTGTACATTGTTGGCGTCCGTGCCAGCTCTGTCAATGACAGTGCCTGCATGTCAAGACACACATCACATCATCATTGCCACGCACCTCTGCGCTCGTCGTGCCAGCAGCAAGATACACGGGGACGAATCGATGATGCCGGACGTCGCTCTATTTAATATATATTTACATGAATAGAAAGCGAGCGCTCGCCAGAAAGCCATGGCAGCAGATGTAATCCGCGAGTAACTACGGTACGCCAGCAGGTCTCGCCGTCCATTCCCCAATTCGACGCCCATCGTCGCATTATCATCCTCGTCTTCTTCGGTCATCAGCAGCAGCATGAGCACCTTGCCCGCGACGACGACCGAGCACAAGGAAGGCTTCTTCCACTGGAAGTGGGGCAAGAACAAACAGAAAAAGCCACGTCGACCAAGAGCCTCCCGCCCATGTCGGCGCCGGCCGCGATCTCACTGCCGGTCACGCCGACCGCGACGCCGACCGAGTCGACGACGAACCGCGCGACCAGCACAGGCCCGCGGTCCGCGCCCGTCCATGGCGGTGACGTGCGCAAGTCCATGGTGGAGACCACGTGGCGGCCGCGTGCCGTGCTGCGCGACTCGGTCCTCGCCCGCGAGCCCGACGTCGCGATCGAGAAGGCCGTGAAGGGCAAGCTTCTCATCATGCACCCATCCACGTCCCTCGACTGGTACAAGAACCGGATCCGCGAGCTCGAAGACGACATTCGCTCCAACACGTGCCGGGCGTGCCTTGAGAAGACCGAGGAGGCCGCGCGCCTCCAAGAACAGGTAGCGATCGAGAAGGGCCGACTGCAAGCCGACATTGAACGTCTCCGGAAGCGCCTCGGCGAACTCCTCGACGAGAAGAAGCTCTCGGAAACCCAGCGCTCGAACCAAATGTCCGAGCTCCAGCAGACGATTGCCGGCCTCGAGACGCAGGTCACATCAGTCTCTGCCGCAGAGGCCGCTGCGGCGGCGGCCACGGCGACCGCGCTGGCACAGCTCGCCGCCGAACAGGCCGCGGTCGCGGAAAAAACCGCAGCCATCGATGCACTCTCGTTGCAGCTCGCAGACCTTCAGCACACGTCCGCCGCGGCGGCTGTGGCGGCGTCGGCCGAGTCGGCCGCTTCAGCGGCCACCATCGCGTCTCTCGAAGCGCAGCGCATCGAGTTGGCGGCATCGCTCGCGGCCCTCGAAGCAAGCCACGCGTCGGAGAAGGCTGCTCTGGACGCGTCTGTCGCCGACTTGGCCGCGAAGCTGGCGGCAGTCGAGGCCGACCTGGCGTCGTCTTCGGCAGCGCACGCTGGCGTTGTCGCCGAGCTGGCGACCGCCACGGCCAACGCGGCTGCCAAGGACGCCGAAGTGAGCGCGCTCACGGCGAAAGCGGACGCGCTTCAAGTCGAACTGGCGGCTGCCACGGCGGCTGTCGCAACTGCTTCCGAGGCGCATGCGAGCGCGACCGAAGCCCACACACACGCGGCGACGGCGCTCGAGGTCGAGCGCGATGCGTTGCGCGCCCAGGTCGAGACGCTCGAGACGACGTCGGCCAGTGAGAAGGCGACCCACGCGAGTGCGCTTGCCGCGCTTGAAGCCAGCCTTGCGGCGGCGGCCGTGCTTCACGCGACGACCGAGGGCCAGCGCGCGGCAGCGGAAGCCAAGGAAGCATCGACGGCGTCCGAGCTCGAGGCGACGACCGCCAAGCTGGCCACCGTGGAAGGCGAGGCCTTGGCCGCGGCGCATCTCCTCGCATCGACACGCTCGTCGCACGCCGAGGCCATGGCCGCCATGGAAGAGGAGCGGGATGCGCTCGCCGCCCAGCTCGCCGACCTCGAAGCCAGCCGCGCGTCGGACGCTTCTGCCTTTGCGACCACGTCGGCGTCCTTGGAGGCCCGCATCGCGCAGCTGGAAACGGACGCCGAAGCTGCCGCGGCCCATCAAGCCACGACGGAAGCGCAACTGCACGCCGCGATGACACAGGCCGACGTGGACGCGGCGGAGCTGATGGTGCTTCGCGCCAAGGTGACGGCCCTCGAAGCGGAAGCGGCGGCGACGACGCTCGCGCTCGCTGCCGCGTCCACCGAGCACTCGGACACGACGGCGGCCATTCTCGCGGAACGGGACGCGTTCCAGGCGCAACTCGCGGCCGTCGAAGCAGCCAACGCCGCCACAACCGCGGCGCTCGAGGCCGAAGTCGCCGCTTTGAAGGACCAGGTGGCCGCGCTCGATGCCGCTGTGGCCGCCGCCCAAGCGACCGCCGACGCCGACTTGGCGGCGGCCACGAACGACGCGGCTGCCAAGCAAGCCGAGGTCGAGGCCCTCTCGGCGCAGCTCCAAGCGGCGACGCAGGCGAACGTCGAGGCAGCCGAGGCCTCCGCGGCTCTGACCACGGAGCGTGACGGCCTTCTGGCGACTGTCGCGTCGCTCGAAGATTCGTCGACCGCGTCGTCGGCCGAGCTCGCGACACGCATTGCGGCCCTTGAAGCCGAGGCGGTGGTCGCTCTCGCTGCGCGCGAGGCTGCCTCGAGCCGCGTCGCGCAGCTGGAAGCAGAGCTCGCGACGTTGCAAGCGGGCGCGGAAGAGGCGTCGGCCGCTGTCGCCGCCCGCGAGTCCTCCAACAGCGAGCTGGCGGCGCAGGTGGCGGCGCTCACACTGGACCGGGACGCGCGTGCGGCCCACGTCGCGGCGCTGGAAGCGGCACATGCCACGGATGCCGCGGCGCACGCGGCGGCGATTGCCGAATACAAGGCACAGCTCGTGGCGTTCGAGGCGCAAGTGGCCGCGGCGGCCGTGGCGTATGCCGCGTTGGAAGCGTCGTCGTCCAACACGGACGCGTCGGTGGCTGCGCTCACGCGCTCGATCGGACAGCTTGAAGCCGACGCCGCGCTGCAAGCGGCTCACGTTGTGGCGCTCACATCGGCCCGTGACGACCTCCATGCGCAAGTGTCGGCCCTCGAGGTGGCACATGCCACCGAGATCGAAGCACTGCAGGCGCAACTGGCGGCCGCTGAAGCCAAGGCGCTTGACGGCGACGCCTCGGCCGACCAGGTGGTGGCCCTGCAGTCGACATTGGAGTCGACGGCTGCCGAGCACGCGGCGGCCGTCGCGGCGATCCATGACCAGGTCGCGGCCAAAGACGCGGAGCTTGCTGCATTGGCCGCGGAAAAGGCATCGCTATCGACGACCAACTCGGAGCTCTCGGCGACGATCGAGCAGCTGCAGACCGAGACGATGACGTTGGCGGCGGCCAACACGACGCTCGAGACGTCGCACGCTGCCCAAATTGACGAGCTCAAGGCGACGATGGCCTCGCTCGAGGCGGCGTCGTCGAGTGCGCTGGAAACTGCAGTGGCCGAGCACGCGATTGCCCTCGCTGCTGCGCAAACCCAAGTGACGACGATCGAAGCCGCCAAGGACGAGCAGCTCGCCGAGCTGCAAGCGCACAACGAAGCGCTGACGCTGGCGACGGACGAGCAGCAGCAAGTGATCCAGCGCCTCGAGGCCGACATTGCTGTCGAGAAGGAGCAAATGGCGACGCTCTCGAGCGACCACGCGGCCAAGGAGGCGATCCTATTGGCCAAGATCGCCGAGCTCGAGGCGCGTCTCGCGGCCTTTGACGGTATCGAAGCCGAGCTGGAAGCCAAGCGGTTGGCCGAAGTCGCGCGGTTGGCCAAAGAGTACGTCTACTTCCGATTCGTTCGGCTCAGTTCTTATGGTCGTTTAGAGCCAACGACGCTGAAGCGGCGGCCGCCGATGCGGCGCGGCTGCGGGCGCTCGCCGAGCAGGAAGAGCGTCTGCGCCTCAAGCCCACGAGCACGGTCTCGCGCCTCCTCCGTGTGCAGGTCGAGCGCTGCGAGGACCTTGTCGCGGCCGACACGGTCTTTATGGGTGGCAAGAGCGATCCATATGTGGTCATGAAGGTCGGCGACAAGAAATTCAAAACCACGACGGTCGTCTCGGAGCTCAACCCGGTCTGGACCCACGAGATCCACGAGTTTACACTTACCGAGGGCATCATGTACACGAAGTCGCTTGAGCTCTTTGTGATGGACCACGACAAGATTGGCGACGACGAGATCATTGGGTCGCTCACGCTGCCGCTGCTGCAGTTTGAGCAGTCGCCGCCAACGGGCAAGGAGACGGTCTTTGATCTGGATGTGCCGGTGACGTTTATGAGCCAAGGCAAGGCGAGCAAGATTGTCGTCAAGTTCGAGCTGCTTACGGAAGAGATCGAAAAGTCGTCCAAGGAGCAGCTCATGTGGGAGAACGAGCGGTATGCCAACCGCACTTGGGCCAAGGAGAACCTCTTGCCGAAGGAGCGCAAGGCGTGGAGTGTCGGCGCGCGCTCCGGCGACTCGCGCGAGCAAATGCAGCCCAAGATCCCGAAAGGCATGGAAACCAAGCTCGGGTGGAGCCTCGACTTGGACCACGGCGACGAGAACGGGTGGTTTTACGCCAAGTCGTTTGACGGGCCGTGGCTCAACCAGTCGAATTCGTCGGTTGAAGTGCGCCGGCGCATGTGGACCCAGCGCTGCACGACGATCGTCGCGGTCGAAGACAACCAAGTGGACGACGCAGCGACGACGGCGGCGTGATCCGTCTAGTGTGTCGTAGAGAATCTAATTGCATAGTGTTATCATTGAAAGATGTAAGGCCAACGTGTTTCTGTATCATTCGTGTCTACTCGACTGCAGACAACTTGTTGATGTTGGCCTTCCAAGACATCGCGACGACCCGACAAGTAGTTCAATATTGTCGTGCTCGATCGTTCTTTTCCCCTTGCGATGCCTTGTACGATTGCTGTCTCTTGCTCTTTGTCGTCTTCGAAGATTGGTCCCTGTGGATGCTTGTATTCTGATGTTACTATAGACCTGTTGGAGGACGAAACCACACCCGACAGTAGGACTCGGCTCACAACTCGAGATGACCTCGACCAAGAACCACCATGGGCAGCGCAACGTCGACGATCGTGGCGACATCCGCCATGTGCACCTGGATCGGCAGACAATGGCTCCGTCCACCAGCTGCACGAACGGGCTGTGGGACCCCAAGGCCTCGTGCACCGGTGGCGCAACGTGTGCCTCCACCAAGCTCTGCACCGGGCGCCTCAGAGCGGTATTGGCGCAAAGACGTTGCGACTGCCGCCAAGTGGTGCGGTGCTTCACGTTGCGACTGCCGCCAAGTGGTGCGGTGCTTCAGCGTCATCATGAGACCGAGTTGCGTGCAATGACTGCGAGCGTGAAGCGTGTGATGTAGTAACGTTATGATGTACAATATTGTCATTCGGACAAACGACGTGCGACGACCACAAAGAAGACAACCAAAAGAGCGTAGGACTGTCGTCGTACTGAACGACTGCGGTGCATTAGCACTCCAAGTCCGTCGAGACGATCTCGACATGACCTCTGTGATCAAAGAGACGAACGATCGGCAGCAAGACCAGGCCTGGCGGAATGCCGCGTAGGCACTCGGCCACGCTTTGGCCGTTGACCTCAACGTGGATGGACGCAGCGTGGCGATCATAGTGGACACCGACAACGACGACGTCGTCCTCGTCACGGACCAACGACGTTGGCGTCTGCGTGAGGACTTGACCTGGCACAAACGCCTGCAAGAACGCCCGTGGCCATCGAAAAAACCATCCGGGAAGCGCGCCCGTGTGCCGCGTGTCTTCAAAGTTGTCGCGTGTCGTCAGCCCAACGTCGATGGTCTGGTGCGCGGCAAACCGAACGCAGAAGCGCGCCGTGGGGATCGTTCCCAAGACGGGCGACATGTCGGCGGTGACGCCGTGCTTGGTTACAAGGCGGTTCGCGTCCGAGAGCGAGAGCGCCGCGCTGCAGTGGGCCGGGTCCCACGCCATCTCGGCGGCGACAGCGCGGAGCTGGAGGTAGTCGAGAAGCGCATGGAACTCCTCGACGTCGGCTGTGCTGAGACCATCGTACGCGAGTGTTCCAGTGCGCACGAGGCGCATGATCCGGCCAAAGTGGGTCGGGTCGGTATCGATGAAGTACTCGCCTACACAATGCGTTAGCAGCCGCGTCGACACTTGTGCATCAACCGTGCTCATCCGGCGGCCACGCGAGCATGGCGTCCAAGTAGCTCCCGCGAAAGCGCCGTATGTTGGCGGTGGCGGTGGCAAACTTCTTGCCGCCGACGTTGAGCGTGACGACACTGGCAGGCGGCGCCGTCGCCTGCAGCGCCCGCAGGTCGGCGAGCTTGGCCTCGACGTCATCGACAAAGCGCATCGCATCGGCAAAGGTATCGGCCGGCAGCAAGGTGCGAAGCTCGGCCCAACGCTGCTCGACGCTCGATCCTGCCATGGTGCCCCACGACGCGAGTAAGGATTGGGCAAAACGTATTTTATATCGACCAATCAGAGCCGATATGGCAGTTGAGCGCCAGCAGAGTGCCACAAGCACATCAGTGATGTGCTTGGGATTCGATCAAAGGTTCGTACACATTTTATTTATGCAAATTTATGGATTATGCAGTCTACTTGCCGATCTTGCTGTACGACTTCATGAACAAGATGTCGTCGAGTCTGTTGGGGTTCAAGGAGTTACGGAGCTTTGTCATCGTGTTGCCGCCATCAGAGAAGTTGCTCTCCGACTTAGCACTGGATGCTGGGATGCTGAGGATTGTCCGGACCACGCGTTGGAGATGCGGCAAGTGGTTCTGGTGGCTCCACCACTCAAGAATGTCAAACTGCTCGCCTGCCTGCCAAGCTAATAGCTGGAGGGGCATTTAGCACGGGCATTTACCACGTTGTCGAAAATTCGAATGGACACGTTTGGACCAGCTGTCCACCCCACTTTTTCTTGTCCATCCACGTCCAGTCCAAGGCTCAAGGCCGCCGTCCATGTCCATCCAGTCCACGCTTTGGACTGGATGGACACGTGTTTTGACTGGACATGGACATTTTGCCCACCTCTGCACATCACAAGGTAGGAATCGCCTTGCATTGCCAGACAAGAGATTAGCACTACTGTTTAGCACGGATGAAGGGATATTGGCTGCTCGTGGTCCATCGTCCATCACGTCTACCAATATGTAGACAAAAATACGACGCTTGCGGCAACAAGTCGGCCAGCCATGGGACAGCAGGGCTGCGACCACTGCTTTGGCGCGAAAGCAAAAGCCGAGACCGTCCCGCGCGTTGAGCACCGATGCGTTGAAGAGCGCGATGTCGGCCATCGCAATCGCACAACCAAGCGTCCACAGATCCATGGTCGCATTGAGTTTGTTGCACGAGAGCTGCGCGCCAAGGTACCGCCGGCAGCGACGCCAACCGGATCGACCGGAAGCCGAGCCAGAGTGTGCCTTGCACCATCGTTGCCACGTCCGTAGCAGACGTAAGAAGGCGGACTTTGTCGACGAGAAAAGCAGCAAGCGCCGGCAGCAGCGCGACGCGAGCGCCCGTGATGAACATGCGTTCGGCGACGAGCGTTGGATCGCCGAGGCGGTATAACTTGCGATATGACGACCTTCAGAGACTCTTGACGAGCTCGCCTAAGCAATGGAAACGGTCAGAGAAAGGCTAAGACGAGACGATGCACCGGTGGTGTGGGCGGGGAGGTACTTTACGCATCAAGAGCACAGAGCGTGGCGGTGACGCTCAGGGATCGGGTCGCGTTGGTGACGCACACTTTTGCAAGGTCGTCGAAACACATGGCCTTGTTGTCGTCTCGTGACCAAGTGGCGTGGACGATGGCCAAGCCAGCGGTGGTCATGAACGTGGTCGGCGAGAAGCGCCATCGGCCGGTTGTAGTCTTGCAGGTAGTCCTTCTGGCCGATCGCGTGCTTGAGAGCGCGGTGCGACGTGCTTACGAGTGCGATTCTGAACAAGGTGCCGTGGAACAAACTGGCTTGCAGCAACACAGCACCAGACAGTCGCGTGCTACCAGCGTCCATTCGGGCTTGGTGAAACTGAGCTGCTGCTGTGAGACTGGCAATGCCACCATGGCAATGTCGAGAAAGACCCTCATTGCCCGTGGTTAAAGCCTCGATAGGGTTTAATCTGTTTAAACAGCAATCCATACCGTTATTCCATACGTCAAATCACGGTAGAACGCCATAAACCTTCCACCGCACGCATGCGCGAGAGGTTGAAAGGTTTACTCGACGCCGTGCAAACTGGCGCAGCGGTTTGTTGGGACAAACGCATTGTCCCAACGATCGCTCCCAAAATCCCATCCGGTTAACGATGGGACAAAGGTATCTCCCCGCAATTAACCGGACGCGAACCGATCATCCCTATCAGCATTGTGGTGGTTGCTTGCGGATGGCGAGTACGCTCGACGCTGTCGCCGCGGACCCGGCCCCGTTCTTTCGCTGCGCGTTCCGCAGCGCTAAGCGCGAGCTCTCGCTGCGCTTCTACGGCAAGAACTACCTTGTCGACCGGCGCGCCTTTCTGGCTCACTTGAGCGCGGACGCACTTGTGCACACGGCGCTCGTAGCCGGCCTCATGGAGGCGCACCTCGTGCTTGTCCGTGCGCTTGCCGACAAGGCTGCGGGGCGATGCACTGCTGCCGACGCCTGCACGTGCGACACCTTCGTGCGACCGTGGCTCGCCAACGTTGGCCGGGCCGTGGGCTACCCGACAATGACCCGGCTGCTCGAGGACTGGTGCATCGAGCACTTGACGGCGCGCACCACGGGTGCGATCCATTGGCCTCTTCTACACACGATATAAATGCGCATGGTAGGGAAGCTTATCAAGGACATCTTCCTCTCGTCGCTGCGCAAGTCGGTCCGGTACCAAGGCCAGCGCGCGGCGATCGCTCGTCTCATGCTTCCAACGGCCGCACGCGCCGCCCTCCTCCCAGCGCTCGGCGTCTTTCTCGTCGAGCAAGGCGTATTGCAGTGGCAGCTCGCGACCGCCCCCGCAGCGACGTACTGGTCGGCGACGTGGCAGCAGCTACTGCGACTCGTCGGCGCGGTTCTCGGGTCGGCCGTCGGCGCTGCCATTGGTACGTACATCGAGCCCGGCACCGGCACCGTGCTCGGCGCAGGGTTGGGGCAAGTGCTCTTCACGGGCGTCACGGCGTCCGACCGCGTCTTCCTCGACAGCACCCGTCTGTTTGCGTCGCGGGGCCGTATGTACGTCGTGTCCGTTGGTGCTGCAAGCGTCTTGCTCTACTAATCGTACGACGACATTCATATTTCAGCACAATTCTTGTCGACACCCCACTTTTGCACTCACGAATGGAGCAACAAGCGCATCCTATCTTATTTCAGCTTCTTTTTAGCGTATTTTCAGCGAATAAACAAGAAAGTCCGATGTCTTAGGACACAATCGCGGCATGGCACGGGTTGCTCCACACGCGACGCCGCACGACGCTCGACGAGTTGGACGTGTTGACCCAAGGGCCTTCAAACGACTTGGCGTAAAACCAGCCGTGGACGTCGCCCTGGGTGCGGTCAATGGTCCAGCCAAGTGCACTGCCTTCAGTCGACGGCGGCAATGGCGGTGCGACGTTGTCGCGAGACGCATGCGACGCCGAGCCGACGCTCCACGTCTGGCGCTCGGACGGCAGCAAGTGCGCGGACGACCACTTGCGGCTCGCGTAGCGCTCGTTCTCCCAGACTTGGAGCGTCGTCACCGGTGGTCCCGGCAGCACTTCAAACCGCAAGACGATGCTGCTATGGACGCGCTGGGAAGAAAACTCGGACGGAATGTCCAGTGGCAGCACGACCTCGTCGGCGGCGTCTTGCTTTTTGATGTTGGTATCGTTGTTGCCCTTGTTGGTGTTGCAGTTGTTGTTGGCAGCGGAGTCCTCGAGCGGCTGGAGCGCCACCGACGCGGTGCCAATCACTTCATCGGCGCCGACCGTGTCGTGGTCCGACACGACGATTTGCAGCACCTCCGTGTACATGGCGCCCTCGGTAATCTGAAACTCAAAGACTTCGTGGTCCCAGACCGGGTTGAGCTCGTTGGAAAACTGCGTGCTCTTGACTTTCTTGTCGCCGAGGTAAAACGTCACGTACGGGTCGCTCTTGCCACCCATGAGCGCCGAGTCGGCGGCCGCGAGGTCTTCGCAGCGCACGAGCTGCACACGCAGGAGCCGCGGCGCCATGCTGAGCGACTTGAGGCGCGAGTCGACCTTGAGTTGCCTACCAGATCTGGAGTGAGACGAGTCTCTCAGATCTGAAAACCAAGTACTTTTTCGAGATGCGCTGTTCATTGGCGTACCGCCACCGACTCGTTTCGAGCTCGAGTTCGGCGATACGGGCGCGGAGCGCCTCAACGTCGGCTGTGCGCGCGGCCAAGGTGGCTTGCGTCGCCGCATGCGCGTCGGTCACATCTTGGAGTGTGGCTTGGTGAGTCGCAGTGGCGGCGGCGAGGGCGGCAGCCGCTTCGCGTTGCTGACGCTCCATTGCAGCGGTGTGCTCGTTTTGCGCTTGCTGGTACTGCTCCATAAGCGTAGCAAGAGCGTCGCGCGCGGCCAAGAGCTCGTGCACGGTCACCGCATGGTCTTGTCGAAGCAGATCAGCGAGCTCCTTTTTCTGTGCCTGGACGTCGGCGGGAAGACTGCGACGGAGCAGCCGGCGCCGGCGGCAGTAGCAATTCGCGCCCATCGAGTTGTGCCATGGTCCGGCAAACGTCGCTGCATAGTACCAGCCATGCGTGTCGCCACTGTGGACCTCGGGGAACCAACCGAGAGATGGCACGTGCGTCGGCGGCACGACCGGCAGTGCAGTGTCGTCGAGGGCAGTCCGGGCGTCGGTTGGCAGGAGGTTTTGGCTCGACCACGCCTCGGCGTACCGCTCGTACTCCCACACGTCGAGTGTCGCACCAATCGCGAGGTCGTCGCGTGTCCAGACGGCGGCGGAGGCATGGACGCTGCACGTCTGGACGGTGCTGTCGCCGTCGCTTTCAAACAGCGGCAGCACGAGCGGGATCTCGGCCACGTGCTTGTCGGCGTCGAGCGGGCCGAGCGGGACGTGCGTTTCGCCTAGACGAGAGGCGAAGCCAAAGAGGTCGATGGCATGCAGCGTCACATGCAAGACACGTGACGCTGCCTCGGCCTCGGACAGTGCAAACTCAAAGACTTGGTGCTGCCAGGTTTCGGTCGGATGCACGCACGCGGTCTGGAGCGCGCCGCCACGCCCCAGCAGCCGCAGCTCGGCGTACACGACGCTTTGGAGGACGCCGCCAAAGCAAGACGAGGCCAAGACGGCGTCGGCTTCGACCACGTTGTGGAGCTCGAAGCGCAGCAGGCGGTCCGGCACCAAGGCCATCGGTCGCCTCCTGCAGCAGAAAAATCTCTGTCAAAACAAAGATCCGCCAAAACGCGTGGCATTTATATCACTTTGTCGCAATTGCGTGGGAATTCTTTTCAAATGTTTAAATGCAACAGGATGTTTGTATTGTACTCTGTGCGATTGTTTGAATCTAGCAAAGCATTGTTTTGTATTGTGGGATATCAACCCAACACAAACGTTTAAAGGTGTCATTACGTTAATCAATAATCAAGATCACTTGGCTGGGATCGATCATCAGGTAATAAACCTTGAAAACGCTTTTAAAGGTGAAAACGTGTGTATTCTCTACAAAGCGGCAACTGGACCCTGCAAATCGACCGCACGTCATTGCACTAGAAACACGCAGTTTGCACCAAGAGCGACAGGCAGCACATGTCCATGGGCGCCTCTCGTTGCCTCGTCCATAGTCGGCACGAATAGCATGGACAGCAACAGAACCAGTGGCCAATTATGATATGAACGCGGCGAAATCGGTTGTTGCCGACGCGACACCGACGATCTGCGACACGCCACTCGGCTTTTGTTGCGTGCAAATAGACAGACTGATGACGCGGAACGTCCAGACCTGCCGAATTGACGCGCCACCTGTCGCATCAAGACGGTTGTCCGCTGTACACCATCCTACCAAGTGTGTTTACGATGGCGACGACGAACAAGGCTCGGAGCACAGCGCCGCGTCTGCTGCGCGTGCATGTCGCCGGCCTCGTGAGCGCCTCGCGCCTCTCGTGCGTGGCGTCGCTGCCCGTCAAGCTCGCGGTCGTCACCAAGCTCCGCGGGCACGGAACGGCCAACGTTGAGCACGTGACGCCGGCGGTCGCGAACGCCAGCAGCATTGCGTGGGACCACGAAATCTACGAATTCGATCTCACCGAAGCCGAGATGTACACGCGCGTGCTCGAGTGCGTCCTCGTCGAGACCGACTGCCTCGGGTGGCGCATCGTGCTCGGCAGCGCCAAGATTCCGCTCGCATCCCTCGAGATGGACCGCGGTCATGTGCACTCGAAAGAGGTGGCCTTTGATGCGCTCGAGTCGGATCTGCGCCTGCGTTTGCACGTGGATGTGTGGGACGTCGCGCAAGATGCGGCCGCCGTTGAATTCGAGGCGTTCGAGCACCAGCGCTGCGTGCGGGGTGAGTGGAGTCAGCGTCACTTGCGCCCTTCGGACCGCCCCGTGTACCGGTGTGGACCGCAGACGGACAATGTGCTGGCGACGATTGTGCCGCCGACGCCCGATGGCTGCGTTCCGTCGCTCGGGTGGGCGGCCGACGAGAGCGGGTGGTTCTATGCCACGTCGTTCGCCGGCCCGTGGCACAACTCGAACGCGTCGTACCCGGTCCGGCGCCGGCGGCTCGTGCACCGGTACCGTCCCGTGGAGGTGCCGGCCAGCGTCAACAACAACAACGACCTTGTGGTCGGTCAAAGCGTTGCGATGCCCGACATGTCGATTCAAGCGAGCCTCGCCAAGCGCCAAGTCATGACCGAGGACTACTAAGTGGAGCTCGATACCATAAAATTACATGACGTGTCAACGCGTGGTCGCGTTGTGATAGCGTGGACATGTATGGGTGGTACGGCGGATTCGCTCGTTCCTGCGGGCGAGGACAGACATTCTCACGCAATACCACCTCTCTGCACCGAGGTCTCCACGCGCGGTATGGCCGTTTTGTTCCAGCCGCCACGATCACCTCTGTGGTATGCTAGAGGCTCCGAAAACCTTGTGGTTTCGTCAGTGACTGGTAGGTGGATCAGATCTGAGCAGCAACAACGAACCATACATCTAGCATGGCCACCAAACTATTTTACCTACCGACTACGTAGCCTAGTGGTAGGTCTGTAGGTGGGTGGGAGGCCCGAACAAGTGTCCCGTATGGAGTTCAAGTGGGTCAATTCGTTTCAATGAGGAGAGCTCAGTGTCCCGTGCAGAGTCCAATTCCCTCCTGGTGGTGCCCTGTCGTCAATTCCTCAGGATACAACGCGTAGAATGTGTTTATAGTCAATCATACATGTACGGTTGCATCGGATTCGGAAGGCGCCGGGCGCTGTGCGGATCGCCCGAGTCCCAGACGTCCATGTGCAGCAAAATGCGCAGGTTTGACGGCTCAAGCGCGACCTTGGTCTCGTGTACACGGCTTCGGTCGGCTTCGTACGCCGACAACGGAACTCTCGCCCGCCCAACGATATTGCGCATCCCAAAGCTGTTGGACTCGAGAAGCGTCACCTCGAGGACGCGGTTGTACATGTCGGCTTCGGTCAGCTCAAAGACGTAGACCTCGCGGGCCCAAGCGACCGAGCCCGTCGTGGGCCCGGCGAGCAGAGGTGGCGTGACGTGCTCGGTTGATTCGTCACCAAGCAGCTTTGTGATCACCGAGAGCTTGTGTGGCAGCGACGCGATGAAGGATGCGCGGGGCGCGTTGATGACGCGGGCGACTTGCACACGAAGCAAGCGCGGCGCGGTGCTCTCGTGCATATTCATGGTATCGCTGGAAGCAAGCTTGTTGTGTTGTGAAGACGTCGCTGCGAGAAAGATGGCGCTGAATTGATTTCTGGATCGATTGTCTCGTTGTCGACCAGGTCGACAACTCAGCACTGATGGTGGTGAATTTCGAGAGGGGTAGGTCTACGACAGGTGGCCGCACGAGTTGTCCCGCACCACAAGGGTGCAGACTTATGTGATGCGCCCTTGCGCACCCCCGCATGAACTGATACGTGCAGAACGCGTTTGACTGTTGGCTATACTATAGTGTATTACCTACACGTCAACCCCAATAATTATGTCTGCGGTCGAACCCAACAATGGCAGCTGCTGGCTTGCCACGTCATAACTCTGAAAACCGATGATCAAAACACCTCTATAAACGGATATTTTGGATGCGGCAGGCAACGTACTAGACGACGAGACTCCCAAACTACCAAGCTCTAGGCACGCACATAGTTGTCGAGAAAGCAACTAGTGCGTGCTGCGACACGAGGACTCCACGTAGCCACCAACGTAACGTCGTGAAACAAGCACTGACGTCGGTTCAAGATCCACATCGGGCATGCCGATCTTTGGGCGGAAGAAGGTCGACATCCGTGTGCCGACGGGGAAGAATGCCGTCAACTTGCGCAAGCTTCTCTTTCTGACGCTGCCCGAGAGCTCGCACATCTTGCCGGGCGACGCCTGGGACAAGGTGGGGGTCGCTCCCATCTCGCGTTTGCAATCAATCGTCTTCGTAGATTGACTTTCGGTGCCTGTCGCTCATGAAGGTCAAGATGCTTCGCGCCGCGTGCTTGGCCCGGGAGCTCGAGCCCAAGGGCGGAAAGCGCTTGCTGGTGTGTTCATGGAGGTAAACATGGTCGATTATTCAAGGACGTAGGTGGAGCGGCTGACGTCGTCCCTGGAACGGCAGCGGGTGGAAGGTAGTAGCAGCAGTAGCACGGGCGTCGCTTAGGCTCGTGTTTGCAGAGGACGAGGCCCGGCGCGATGTCGCTGTCAAAGAAGAGCGCCGGATAAACAAGCTTGGCGGTATCTGGACCTGCGGCACGGGCACGCAAGGCCAACTCGGTGCGTGGATGGATACGTTCGACGATAGACGATATTCTCCACACAGGCCACGGTGACTGCGAGAATTATGATATTCCAACGCAAATCAAGAGCACCCGTGGCATGCACTTCAGTCAAGTCTACGCGGTGCGTTCTAGTACGATGCATGACAAGTGGTCGTATGGAAGATGGACGCAGGGGTTTGATTCGGACATCACCTTTGGCGTCACGCGCGCCGGCGACGTGTACGTCTGGGGCAACAAGTCGGGACCGACAGGTCTTCCGCGTCCCAAGAAACAAAAGGCGCCGACTGCCACGCCTGCAGCGAGCACTACCAACGAAAACGTTGCGACGGCGGACGAGGTTGACGACGACGACGACGACGACGAAGATGACGACGATGACGACGACGATGACGCCAACGACGATGCCGATGCAGCAACGGACGAAGACGACGATGATGCTGGCGTCGTGTTGCGTCCGGACGTGATCCCGGCCCCCGTGAAGCTCAAGTCGCTCTCGGGCGAAGACGTGGTGGCGATTGCCGTCGGGCGCGTGCACTGCGCCGCGCGGACCAAGAATGGCGATGTCTTTACATGGGGCCAGAACGACCACTGCCAGCTCGGACACGAAGCCGAGCATAGTTTGAACCAAGCGCAGTCGCGGGTGCGGTCAAATCGTCGTTCTTGTACGCACGGTTCTCACAAAGCATGACTTAGCGTGCGATCATCAAGTACGGTCTCGACGCGGTCGAGCCCGTCATCTGGACGCGGACGGTACCGGAGACGTGCGTCATTGTCGGCATCGCTGTCGGGACCGACCACACGCTTGCAGTCTCCGACGACGGTGACATCCTCGGTTTTGGCTCCATGTACAACTCGTCCGACCACTCGACGCTGTCGCGGCACCTGCGCAAGCAGCGCGTGACCCAAGTAGACATTAGGCCACAGGATCGAAAATTGTCTCCAAGTGCCGACGCGTAGATCTGTTGTGGGGCGCTGCACGCGGCGATTGTGAACGCCAACGGTCAAATGTACACCTGGGGCAGCGGCGACGGCGGGTAGGGTCCATGTTCCAGCTGTTTTTTTTTTTGGCGCGCAAGGGAGATGATGCCAAGGCTGTAGACGCCTCGGGCATGGCGATTTGGCGATGCAAGTGACCCCCCGCCTCGTGGATGCTTTGGCCAGCGACATTGTGCTGCACATCGCGTGCGGCTGCTGGCACACGGTGGCGATCGTGCTCGTACCGCCGCTGCTCAAAGGCGGCTTCGTACGCGGGTTCGTGGCGGTTGGATCGATCTCTACGTGCGCTGTGTAGGTGTACACGTGGGGGACCGGACGTTATGGACAAGTTGTCTATTGTCTTGTGCTTGTAACGAGTATGACGTGCGTCGAGTAGCTGGCCCAAGGCGGGCAGCAAATGGTGTCGACGCCGGGCCTCGTGCGCGACTTTCTCATGCAAAGCGTCTTTATGAAGCGGATCTGCGCCGGCATGTACCACAATGTGGCACTGTCGATCGATGACGAGGTCGCGTCACGACCGTATACTCGTGTGTTTGATCGAATTGGGTAGGTTTACACGTGGGGTAGCAATGTGAACGGGTGTCTTGGCCGCCCACTGGAAATGGCGACCAACCCCGAAACGTTCAGCGCTGTCCCGGGCGTCGTCGAAGGCATGTCGGACTTTATTGGTCGTCCCTGCGCCAGTACGACGATGCGGCATCGCTGAACGTATGGAAAATTTGTCTAGTTGCTTGTGGACGCGAGTACACGGTGATTGCGACCAAGCCGTATCTCGGACCATCCGAAGAAGAGGTCGAAGCGGCCAAGGCGGCGGCGGCCGAGCGCCAAGCTGCGATCCAAAAGCAAATCGACCGCGAAGAAGCGAAAGCAGCGGCGGCCCAGGAGCAAGCCGACACCGCGGAACGTCGCCGGCTCATTCAGTACTTGAACGTACACCACCCGCTTTGCCCTGCCTGCACGGTGCCAGGCACGTGTGCCGGGTTCCAGCGGGACGACGTTGACCCGATCTTGTGCCGCAATTGCTTGCACAGCAAGGTGAGCCACACGCTACTGTACAACGAGCGCGACAAAGCTGTCGACTTGGACGGCCTCCGGCGCGTCGCGGCGCTCCTGGACCTGGCATTGCCGGACGACGACGAGGCGGCGGAAACGGACGAGAACGCGTGAATAAGAATATCAAAAACAAAAATGAACGATTGCTTAACAAGAAGTGACTGGTACAGTACATTACACGAGCGGCGCCTGGAGCGTCTCGAGAAGGATCATCGCTTCAAAGGTGTCGAGCGGCAATGACGACGGAAGCGCCCACAACTCTTCGTCGTGGATCTCGACAAAATCAAAGTCACCGCGCTGATGCGCCCACGCAGACTCGTGGATGCTCGACCACTCGGGGCAGTACGCCGTGTCCAACGCGACGGGTGTGAACGCTTCAAACATCGGCGACTCCAGCTCAAAGGACTCGACGCCCGGCGGCGACTCGGACGGTTCGCTCTTGATGAACGGCATCTTAAGCACGGGCACGGGGACTGTTGGCACCGCTGGTGGCTCCACCGCTGGCGCCAACACGGGTTGCGGCGGTGGCGACACACTGGCCGGCGGCTTGACCGCCATCGGCACCGGGGCTCGTGCGGCAGGCTTGCGGGTCGACGTCACGTGCCGCATCTTGGGCTGGAGCGACGAGTACCAGTGGTTTTTGATTGAGTTGTCCGTGCTACACACCGTCCTTCATCAACGTCAACGTTCGTGTGTCCGAGTCGACGTACCGGCCTGGCATTTGCGTCGCGATCTGCGCCCAGCGGTTCCCGAGCTTGGCTTGCATGCGGAAGAGCATGGCTTCTTCGTCCTGCGACCACGCGTCGCGCTTGATGGCGGGGTTGAGTTGGTTGTGCCACCTACATGACTCGTGAGCATCACTTCATACACGACAAGTGTACCGTTCACGGCACTGCTTGCCATTGCGGCCCGGCAGATACGACGCAATGACCGCCCACTTGCGCGCGCCGTAGGACGCGATGAGCTCGGCCATGCGCTCGTCTTCGTCCTTGGTCCACGGGCGCTTGGTGGACGCGTTGCGGTTCTGGAGCTGGTGCCATCGCTCTTGGCAGTCGCGCGCACTCTTGGTGACAAACTGGTCGGCGATGCCACGCCACTGCTTCCCGCCGTGCTTGAAGACAGCGTCGCGAAGCATCTGGTCCTACGCAGACTGAGTTGTCCGATACAGGCAGCCACTGTCCACGCACCTCGAGCGTCGACCAGGCGCCGTCGGCGACCATGGACATGGATTTCTTGGTCGTGGGTGCCGCCGGCATGAGACTGGAAAACAAAAAGTGAGGGGCTCCAATGCGGTGCCTGCGAGGAGCCATAACTCGTGATGGCCATCGGAGCGGGCAAGGCCAGGATATGACGCCGCGTCGCGCCTCGGCTCGGAAGCCGCCGCGTCCCACGCCTTCGTCCCGTCGATCCACGGCGTCGGCCCCATCTTTGTTTTCCAACTAGCAAGTTGCAGGTACACATAGTATTTGGAGAGATCGGTATGGGCGAGATGGAAGAGATCGACGAGGATGACATGTCTGCCCATGAGTATGCCCACCCATGACGGTGATCACGAGAAAGTGACATGGATCACTGCGAACGTGGTTGGCTGGTATTGTCGTACCTTCTGTCAGTGTATCAGGCGCGGGATGATTGCGATAAAGGTCGTTGGGAGCTTGGTAGGGTTGGGGACATCTCCAAGTATAGACGACCAAGTATGGGCGGCACGCCTGAGGCGCGACGGGCCGCGCTTCGGCGACAAAGTCGCAATCAACTGCTTGCGTCAGTGGTGTTCACCGTGTGTCAATCGTGTAGGTGCGAGCGCTGACGAGCTCGCGTCACCGTCCACGTGGAAGCTCCCCGCGCTCGTAAATGCGTCGACCGACCTCCGGTGTTTTAACTGCGGCACGGCGCACCCGAACCCAGCGCTGCGCGAGACGTACCGCTACTGTCTCCACTGCCGAAAGGTCCTCCGCGAGTCCTCCGAGTGCGATACGGCGCTCCTCAGTGGCGCGCCGCTCAACCAGCTGCACATCCTTGCAGCCTCGTACGGCCATCCGGTCGATCCGGCACTCGCCATCGATGTCACCAGTTTCGTTCGCGCCCGACTGACTGTCATGTCTTCCACGTCCGAGCTGTACCTCTCGGCCGACGTCTCGGAGCTCACGCTTGTGGACCCTGCCCCTGGTGTCCTCAAGGTATTTCGCATATTTCCTGTGAGGTTGACTCTGATATCGAGGACTAGGTGCTTCTTCTTCGCTATGTCGTGCCCAACTTTAACCCGGCGCTGACCCGCCGCGGCGACGAAGTTTATGTGCGGGAAGTGCAGCCGCAGACGTTGGCGACGCCGATCCAGCTCTCGTTCACGATGGATCGACCGCCAAAGCTCTGGATTCTCTCTGGGCTCTACGGCCACCGCACTTCCTCCACCAAGGTAGGCCGGTCGGACGCAGCAAGTACTCAAGCAGCGATTTAGGGTATGGTGCTCGATGTCACGGAGCGGCTTACCGCGTGGATCGACTTGTTTGGCCACGGCTGCCATCTCTGCATCCCGTCGACGCAAACGCTCGTTGACTGGCTCGGCGACCCGTGCCCGGGGCTCACCAAAGTACGCGGCAATCTGCGATATCGTATATCTCAAGTGAAGGACGCGTAGGCGCTCAGATTGCACTACGAAGTGATTGGCCGCGCGGGCCAAGCGCGCCAGTATGAAGTTGACGGCCATCTCAAGGAAGACATTGTGATCCAGCATCTCCCGGTCGTCTCGCCTGGTGTACTCCTCGAGCACGCCGACTACGGCTGGCCGATCCAAGAACTCGAGCGCAAAAGAGTCGAGCTGCAAGCCCAAGTCGCGCTTGGTGACGCTGACGCCGCACCACTGTTGGCACAATTTCAAGCGCTCGCAGCCGCCAGCGCGAGTTGCGATGTCACGGCCCCGCTGCAAGCAAGCGTTCGGTCGCAGCTCGAACTCGGTGCGCGCATGAACCTCAACCAGCTCGGCGGCGATCCGTGCCCCGGGCTACCCAAGCTACTCATCTTGGAATATGCGTACCTGGGCTTTGGTACGTTTTAAATCGATGTGCATACGTATGTATATGACGCTGTCAAGGGGAGAGCGGCAACGACAGCGAGATCCTCACGGGTGGTCATTTGCGCAATTTTACCAACCGCAATGGGGGCAAACTCAAGCTGGACGTGAACCGTGAAGGGTTCCTCAAGGAACCGGTTTTGCTCCAGCCCCACACGGTGTTTCCGCCCTTGCAGATTGTTCGGGCTTTTTTTGGGCACCCGACAAATGCGCTCAAGACGTACGACATTACCGACGTGGTCGCGACGCTTGCGGGCAAAGGTATGCCGCCGACGACGTGTACACCGGTGCACCAATACCTTTGTTGGGTAGACAAGCACGCCAAAGCGCTCGTGGTGCCCCGCACCATGGATTTACTGGCACAGTTTGGCGACCCTTGCCGGGGCATGCGGAAAGCCCTTACGATCAACTACAAAGTACTAGGCATGTCCGGCCATCTTGCGATTCCAGCGACCGACGACAACCACCTCGTCGCGACACTTGAGCTCGGGTACCCGCCCGAGACGCGCGATGCAGGCGTCACCGGCAAAACGAGCTGGGCCGAGCGCATGGCCTCGCGTGCCATGACGCGTACAACCAAGCAGACGGCGCGCGATCGCATGCGAAGCAGCGCCAGCTTACGAATGTGGTCCAACGAATCGTTCTAGACAAAGTGCCATTTGCTTTAACGACACCGTATCTGTCTCAAGACGTCTAGTGTCCGAGCTCAGACGATTCTTAGAGCTGGCGGGGCTGGCGCAGACCGCGCTTCTCGAGCTTGGCCTGGCGCTTCGACGTCGTCTCGCCTGTGCTCGCTTCGTCCTAATCCATGAAGCGATAAGCATAGGCTGTGAATAGGAGGGTTTGTACCGAGGCACCAAAACCCTGGGGAAAGACAAAGCCCCAGATCTTGCGGCCGCCATAGTACGAGACGTAGCCAGGAATCTAGTCGTCGCCCGTCGTGAGCAAGGGCAGCAAGTATGGAGGTCGTACGATCAAGTAGAGGTACCAAAAGTAGTCGGTAAACATCGAGCCGACCTGGACGCCGAGGGTGATGAGGAGCACGTCCATCGCGTATCTGGAATGGCATGAGAAACGAGAGATATGCATGTGAAAGGGGTGTCGTACTCGTTGTTGGTGCCCTCGAGGGCCGAGCCCACGGCCATGGTGTAGCTCACGTACGTCATCGTCAAGAGAAGCCCGTAGCCCCACATGTGCCAATTGGAGAACGTCGCGTAGTGCCACAAAATGCGGTATGCAATGTACGCTGCCTAATGACGAGACGTCAAATGCATGCAAGATCGACGCGGGTGCGTACGTTGATGGGCACGATCGACTTGTGAAGGCGTGCGCTGAGGCTCTGCCCGGCCTTCTGCGCCTTCTTGGCCGCTTGCCCTGCCTACGTCGTCGTCAAGTTCCGGCCACCGTCGGTCGGCGTACCATTTTTAAAAATGGGCAACGTCACGCCACCGCGCACTCTCATTGGCGGTTATCTATCGAAAAGAATACTTTTTATTATTATTATATATAAAAGGGCGCGCCCTTGGAGGATCGAAGCGCGTCAAGTTGTCCCACGTCGTTGTTTCGTTCTCGATGTATGGGGAAAACACCGCAAAGCGTGGCCTTTTGTAGTACTATCGGCAGTGCATTGCAACTGTGGTGGTAGCCAACGCTCGCGGAGGATTCCGCCGCGACGCTGTACTAGCACGTCGCCTGCTGGTGGAGCTTGTGGACGAGCGTGCCAGGGCAGCTAGTGCTGTCGACGCGAAGCTGCCCGACTCCCAATGACGCACTTGACGCCAGCGACAAAGCACGGGCGGCGTCGGGCGGTCCGATCGGAAAGATCACGTCGGCGCCGATCAAGCTGGCACTTGGGACTGTAAAAACTAGTCTCCGTCCGCTCAAAAAGCATTCCATGAGGCACGCCGCCCGAGGACTTCGTCCGCGCACGCAACATCCTCAAAGAAGAACGTGCGTTCGTCGTTTGGAAAGGTAGGAAGGGCTTTCCGTGCAGGTCATCAAGATGGCGCGGCTCTTGTACGACGAGTTGCACCGGCCTTGGAGCGGTTCAATCAGAAAGAGGATCAGAAATAGTGCAATGCCAGACCTGCGGCTCTAGCCGCCCGTTCGTTGTCGCCGGTCAACGCCATTTGGTGCTTCTGGACCACACGGAGCAGTCGCACGCGAGTACCTCTACAGCTGCAGTCGCGGTTGTTTACACACAGCACTGTTCGTCACCCCTTGCTTGACCTTGACGTCAATCTCGGTGCCACGGCTGCGATCGGCGGTTGCCGTCAAGGTCAACCATGTATTGCACGGGATCGAAGCGTGTACCATTGTTGTTGACATGACCTCATGCGAATTCGCTAGTACCAGTGTTGACAAGATGGCCAACGTCGGCGGCGAGGAGGATCGCGCTGTGTGTCGGCGCCAAGTGCAAGATCGTGCATGGAAATCGATCGAATTCGAGAGCCATGGCCAATCACAGACGTCGACGACGAGACTTTCCACCAATCAAACGACTGTATTTTGGGACATTGGGATAAAGTATGGATTCCGGATACGGGACGCTTCTGTGGCGTCCGAGCCACTGACTGCGGCCATTCCACTTTTGACTGCGAGATGTTGCGGAAGGTTACGTTCGAGCTCGGCCGATGCGTCCGCGAGACGGGCCAGGCCATGGACCGCCTTGGCCTGCGCGTGCTTGGCAGCAACGAGGCCCGCGAGAAGTGTACGTGGCACCTGCAGATGACCGCCAGGCTCATGCTGGCGATGAGTAGTCTCGCGCCACCGCCAGATCATGAACCTCTACGACAAGGTCCCGTCGGTGGCCTACGACTCGTGGGTCGCGCCCAACGCGTCGGTCATTGGCGACGTCGAGATCTGCAACGATGCGTCGGTCTGGTACGGCGTCGTGATCCGCGGCGACCTCAACAAGGTCTCGATTGGCAACCGCACCAACATCCAGGACCGCACGGTCATCCACACGTCGAGCACGACGACGCCCGGCCTCGCGCCCGGCGCCTCGATCGGCAACGACGTCACTGTCGGTACGCATGCACACCGATGCCAAGAAAATGGTCACTGATGTTGCTATCGTCTAGGCCACGGCTGCATCTTGTACTCGTGCACGATCGAAAACAACTGCTTGATCGGCATGGGCTCGATTGTCCTTGACGGCGCGTTGGTCGAGTCCAACTCGATCTTGGCCGCTGGCACGGTCGTGCCGCCGGGCCGCCGCATCCCGTCGGGCCAGGTACGCATATCATGGAACATCCAATGAGCACTCGAGGCTCATTCTTCTCTAGCTCTGGGCCGGCTCGCCTGCCCAGTACGTCCGCGACGTCACGGAAGACGAAATCGCCGACTTGACCAACCAGGCCAAGGAGTACAAGAAGTTGGCCGACACACACAGCGACGAGTTCTTGCCCTACGGCACGGCGTACCTTGACGCGGAGCGCATCAAGGCGCAGGGCGCGCAGATGTAAATTCGCTTGTGCATGATGATGAAGAAGAAGAATGACGTAACTCCACACGATATACCTGGGTTGAGCTCTCTGTTGCACCTACGCTTCGTCGTCCGCACTGGTGCGTTTCGGCCGCGTGTTGCGCCCACCCTTGTCCTTGCGCGCCCGCTTCTTGAACGCCACGGGCGCGGCCGGCGCCGTCTCGTCGTCGCTCGCAGGCGGTCGCACGTCGTCGTCCAGCGCAATGCCCTTGTAGCTGCCGCCCCAGGGGTTGAACGCTCCGAGCGCGTTATCCGCGTGCAGCGACTCTTCCATGATCATTTCGTTGTCGCGTTCGAGCTGGATGGCTTTCTTGGACGCTTCAAACGCCGCCACCTCGGCCGCGCGGGCCTTCTCCTCGGCGGCGTCGTCGACAATGCGCACCGACACCGTCGACCACTCGCCGTAACCAGGTGCGCGGGCCGCTAAGTACTGCGTCGACCGGCCCAGGTAGAGCGCGTCCAGGAAGCCGTTGCCGCCGTTCTCGGTGATTTGCTCGGCGGTCGCGACCTCGGTCGGCAGCGTGAGGCAGAGGCGGAGCTGGTCGCTCGTAAAGACACCAGAGACGGCCGGCGCCGTCCGGTCGTCGGTGGCCTTGTACGCCACGGCGTAGCGCTTCGTTGGCGGGCTCGTGCTCGTGTCGGTGTCGACGCTGCTGATGGTAGCGGGCCGCCAGTCCTCGAGGTCCTCGACCCAAACCTCACAGACCTTCTTTGGCACGAGCTTGAACTACGTCATGGCGTCATGCATAGGAGCAAGCATCGAGTTATTGTGAGATGCGTACTTCGTGGAATTGGGCCTTCGAGGTACACAGTACCGCGGACGACGTAGAACCCGGGGCGTCTGCTCGGGGGCGAGGGGCACGCGGCGGCGGCACTACGACGGGGCGGGACCGACGGGGGCGGGGACCGTCGCGGCGGCGGCGACGCGCGGCGGTGGC